GCGAGTCGCTGCTGCTGCATGCCGGGCTATTTAACTCCGCAGCAAAACGGGAACGCTCAGGCGCTGCTGCGCCTCGTGGCAGCTGCTGCTGCTGCCCCCTTCAGGGCGTGACACAGCGAGCTCCCTGGGGGCCAATCCTTACAAATTTGCCCGCGGCGCCCAACGCCCTAAGAGGCAGTACCAGCATCATCAGGCTAGCCTTGTCTAATACACAAGTGTTCTCGTTAGTGAATATCGCAGCCCCCACTCTCCCACAGCGAGCAGCCCCCGTTAATGAGGAGAGAGCCCTGGGGCGTGGCTGGTGCCCCAGGGCATAGAAGGGGGCGGCCCACGAGTGCTCGGGTTTTACCGCAGCTGTGGGCCCCAGTATCCTGCAGCCGTTTGTGAAGGCCACCAATAGAGGCCCTCGAACTTGGGCTGCTGCTTGTAAAGGGTTCGGCGTGAAGTGTCTCTTTGTAGGGGAAGCCCCGCACTGAGTTGCAGTGCCTTCGGCTGTCACCTCAGCTACACACTCAAGTTTCCTAGGGCTGCCAGCCTTACCTCTCTGCATGCGTTTTGCACACAATTTGAGATAGGGGCTTTCTGTTGACACGCAGAGGAGCCTAGCCCCGAGCTGCCTGCTGCGTGAGCGGCTGTATCCTGCAGCGCCGCTCAGGCCTTCAGTGCTCCGTCTAAGCCATTGAGTGAAGCTAAATTAGCATTTCCTCTTAGGCAACTCTAGGGGCCAGCGGCTTTCTAGTCTGAATTTTTGCTGAGTGAGCCCCGCAAAGTGCAGGACAGTGATAGAAGTGATAGGTCTGCAGCCGCTGCCCTGCGCAGGGGCTGCGGCCCAGAGTGCGCCTGAGTCCGCCTTCGGCGTACTTGACTTTGAATAAATATAAGAAATTGTCTTGGCTTAGCAACGGCAGCTGGCTATTAAATATGGAGGCACTTTCTCCCCAGAGCCATTTTCCGAGCCCCCGCCCGGCGCTTCCCGCTGCATAAGACAGCCGCTGCTTCGCCGCACTTGCGGGCGAAGGGCTAGTCGCCAGCAGGTGTCAGTCAATTTTGTTGCAGTCCTCTTGCCTGCATCAGCCTCTATGGGCCCTGGGGATGGAACAGGGCTCTTTGATGTTGGAAGAGCAAAATGTGCTGCCCAGGTGGTGCTGGGAGCGGCGCCCTGTGGGCTTGAGCTGCTGATAAGTAAAATTTGGTTTTTAGAGGTACTTTTGAAGGCCACTATTTGCTTTTACGCACCATTTTCGCGTTTTAAGGAAGTTTGCGTATGGTTTGTCGTGTGGCCAAGAGGGATAAGAGACTCAACTTTCGTCCTGGGGTTAAACAGGATCCGCTAGGCTTATTTGGCTAGCAAACTAGACTTCAGCTTGCCGAGTTCGGGAACCAGTGTTCACTGCTGCTGGTTGATTAGGAAACTTGTTAGAGCAGCGCAGCCTCTGCAGCGCCTCCTGCTGGAGCAAGTCCCTTTCGCTTAGACTACTGATAAGGGGATAATGGATTTAAAAGTTTTTAACGAGTTTTCTAACTATATAGGCGTGACGTCTTCCCCTCGCAAACTTCAAACAATATCGACAGGTAATCCGAAGGTCAAATAAACCAAATGTAGGGTTGCAGCATCTCCTGGACTTCCTGTGCAGCAAGGCATGCTTGGCCAAGGCTGATGGGCTAAAATCAGATGAGAAGCTGCAGCTGCCTGTGCCACTGAGCAGGAGGGTGCTTTTCTCCGATGATGGCTTAGGCCATGGTCAACAAATTACATGTGGGGAAAAGGACTACGGGGAGGCTTCACTAATACTGCTTTTGGGGTGACACGGGAAAAGGCCTTCCCAAAGCGCCGGTAGCATGCAAGGGGAGAACTGAAGCCCATTTCCTCACTCGCGCTACTAGGAAGGAGCTCACAAGAAGATTTAGGCGTGGGCCGTTCTTGGCAATTACCTGTTACTTCAAACTGTAGGCAAAAGACACCTATTTTGAAGGCGAAGCCACTGAAGTTGTGGTGTTACAAAGAGCCCTGTGGCTGCTTTGTTTCGAGGCCACAGCAGCTTCATTCTCTGCTAGTAGGCTCAAGCTTCTCCTGGCTACCATGGCTGGCTCCGCAAGAATTTGTTCACATAAAGGGCACGCCGCTCCACTCTAGGAAGTTTACCAAAGTACTAGAGAAGAGACTTACGTCTCTAGTGGGCCAACGCTGCCGAGAGTGCGGTATCTTGCTTTCGCTGTGGAATGATCCCGCAAAACCACATACGATGGAGAGCCTCATCCGGTTCTTTTTCACGTAATGTGCTGCTGCACCAGCATTTTCATAGATTTCGTCTTAACGGGTCATCTACAAAGTGGATGCTACGACTGTGGCCTTCTGAGATAATTCCTCTTAGAGCCGTGCACGCGAGAGAAAATACTAAAAGTCGCTTGCGTGCTTTGAAGACTACCCCCTTTATATTCAACATTCTGATTAATGGGCGACTTTACAACAAGGGAGGCCACCGTTATAGACTGTTCCGTCTCATATGGTGCCTAGGCTCATAGCAAAAAGACTCAATAGAAGCTTCAGCATGGGTAGGTGCCTGACTGTTCACAGAGGAAGCGGCAATTGAATTGCGACTAAATTTCGTCCTAAATACAAATAGATAAACACACGAACACTAAGGTTATGCCCCCATGTTGATTATCGACAGCCCGGCGGTTCTTTGGCATTCCAGCTGGGCCTTGAGTAACCCCAGTCGCAAGGGGCCCACAGAGGCCCCCACAAGCAGGCGAGGCCATCAGGCCCCTGTTACCGGAAGAGCGATTTTATGGTCACCTCAGCGTAAAGTACTACAGCCTCTTTTCTCATGAAATTTGGAAAGAAGTCAGCGGCGGCTCTCCTCGGGTGCTCTCCACTAATCCCGGGAAAGGCAAAAACCCCTGGAAGCCTGAAAGCGTCAATGAGGGAAATCGAATTTGAGACAAAATAAAAACATTGAGCTGGATAATCAGAAATGATATGGCTTTTTTGAACATCTCAAGGCCCAGGCGGCCGAGCGTGATCATGGACTCCACTAGGCAGTTGTAGGCCCTAGCTAATTCTGCGACTCTAGGCCAGTTCTAGAGCCCTAGGTTCAGAATTGCAGCAGGAAAGACCAAGTTGAGTTAGCTATAACTATAAAGGGCAAAAAGCTCCTGCGCCAGTGAGGCAACGTAGGGCAGCTGGTTCCTCGTGGACACGAGCTCAGCTGCCTTGGTTGGAAGGAAGCTGTCTTGAATGTTGTCTGAAGCGAAAGGGAATTAAGAAAGAGAGTTCTGTCTTGAGGTTCGTTTAGTCTTGAGAAGAATAAGAAGAGCTCTGTCACTAGTGTTCTTTAGAGTTGAGAGGAAGTACGCAAAGGGATGCATTGAGTGTTGTCTAGAACGAAAAATAACTGAGGAGAGGCCTGTCTTTAGGATTGTCTAGAGCAGATATACATTAAGAAGAGAGCTGTCTGGAGTGTTCTCCAGAGTTGAGAGGAATTCAGATGAAGCCTCAAGCCTCGGGTTCACGCCTAGGGGCCCTTAAGGGCCCCCAAGCCTTCCTGGCTGGGGCACTGGCCCCTCCCGCTGCTGCTGTTTGCCCCCAGGGCTTTGACGTAAGAGTTTGGCCCATTGGCCTAATGGTGTGGTCTATTGTATTCCTATTCAGTATGTTATTAGCATTCTTACCTATGCACTTATTAGCATTTAGTGTAGGTGTGAGTTAAGGGCCTTTGCGGGCCGCTGGCTACTGCCGCTGCAGCAAACAGATGGCACCTGAAGAAGTCTTAATTAACTCTTGGGTGGCTTGGGGAAGCAAAAGGCCCCTCAAGCAGCTGCAGGTTGCTGCAGCCTCTGGGCCCAGGGTCTGCTGCAGCAAGCTGCGCATAAACCCAGAACAAGCTAAGCTGCTGCCAGCTGCAGCAAGGCCGCTTGCTGCACCTTAATCGGTAGCCGCAGTCGGTGTATGCAGCAGCAAGCTGCTGCTGGCAGCAGCGAGCTGCTGCTGGCAGCAGCGGCTGCTGGCTGCACCGGGCTGCTGCTGCTGGTCCAAGTGGCTGCGCCTGGCTGCAGCCAGAGGCAGCCAGCTAGCTAGGCAGCTAGCTGGGCTACACAGCTATCAATTTGGCAGTCCTGAGGCGCCTAGTAGCTGGCAGCATGCAGCAGCAGCAGACACGGGCGGGCTGGGGTGTCTGTTTATTGGGAGCCAAGGCGCCCTTTGCTTTACATGAGCACACCGGCTTTTATTTTTTGTTTTTTGAGTTAAAATCTTTGAAACAAAACGAGAAATCACACTAAACGGACGCAGAAACGGGGCCCCACAGCAGCAGCAGCGGCGGCGGCAGCTGCAGCAACAGCTGCAGCAGCATGCAGCAGGGGCCTCCGTGGCCTCCTAGCTACGCAAGACATAGCTATAAACGCTTATAATTTCCTTTTATCTGTCGTTCTTGCCCCGAATTGCGCTTAGCAGTAAACAGTGCAGCAAGGCGAGGTGCTCTGAAGTGCCCGCTGCTGCCGCTGCTGCTGCTGCTGCTGCTGCTGCTGGTGCTGCTGCTCCGACTACCCCTGGCATCTTCTACTATTCTGCATCTCTCCAGGAACTGCCTGGCCTGCTGCGGCAGACGGGGCGCCTGTGCCCCTATACCCTAAACCCTAAACCCTAAACCCTCGGCAGATGGCTCAGCCACAGGGGGCCCCGCGCCCCTCTGGGGAAGAAGATTTGAAGCAGCGGCTGCAGCGCCTAGAGAAGGAGAGGATAGCGCTGAACAACACTATAGAAGAGCTGCGGCAGGACTCCAGCGACCACCAGTAAGCGCTAAACCCTAAACCCTAAACCCTAGACTGCCTCAAGACGTCCGGCCTGCGGACTCCGCTTCAAACAGTTTGCTGCCCTTAGGGCGAGCCATTGCTGCGTGGCCGCTGGCAGCAGCAGCGTTGTGGCCTCGGGCCTGGGGCTAGGGCTAGGGTTTAGGGTTTAGGGTTTAGGGTTTAGGGTTTAGGGTTTGTGTCTCAGGCTTGTGCTGGACGCGTTCAAAGACCTGGAACCCTCAAGACGCTGCTATCGGCTGGTCGGGGGGGTTTTGGTTGAGAGGAGTGTGGGGGAAGTGCAGCCGGCCTTGGAGCAGCACAAGGCCAAGGTAGGGTTTAGGGTTTAGGGTTTGGGGTTTAGAGTTTGGGGACTAGCTAGGATTTGGAGCCGCAGCAGGGTACAAGGTTTAGCGTTTAGGGTTTACGGCCTAGCTATGGAATACAGCTTTCGTAAGGTTCAGGTTTAGGGCTTAGCACTTACGCACGTCTAGGGCGTAGGGTTTAGGGTTTAGGGTTTAGTTAGGGTTTAGGGTTTGGGGTGAGCCCTGGACCCTAGAACCCTCCCTTCTTTCTGCTTCCTAAGGCATTAAGGTCTGTGGGGCTCTGTTTAGGGCAGCAGCAGCAGCAGCAACAACAACAACAGCAGCAGTAGCAGCAGCAGCAGCTGCAGCAACAGCAGCAGCAAAGGCGCTACTTCCGGTGCTGCTGCTGCGCGCAGATGTGCACTGCATCTTTAACTGCTGCTGCCGCTGCTGCTGCTGCTGCAGGTGGCTGAGGCCATGAAGAACCTGGAGGCGCAGCTAGCCAACGTGCAGTCGCAGCTAGCTGCAGCTAGCCAAGAATATATAAAGAGAACTGGGTCAGCAGATGTTCCCTACATGCAGCAGCAGCAGCAAGCAGCAGCAGCAAAGGAAGATGCAAAGTCAAAGTCTGCGGGGGGCATTCTTGTCTGAGCGCGGCGCTGCTTGTGCTGCAGCAGCAGCTGCGGCAGCAGCAGCAGTTGCTGCAGCAGTAGAATTGCTGCAGCACCAGTCGCTGCAGCAGCACAGCACCTGCTGCAGCAGCGCACCTGCTGCAGCAGCGGTTGCAGCAGCAGTTGCTGCAGCAGCTGTAGCCTTTAAGCCGCATCTGCTTTACCTGGGCAAAGAGATGCAGCAAGAGCAGCAGCCAAAGCTGCTGTTGCAGCAGCAAAACGAAGTGCTGCTGCTGCTGCTGCAGCCTAATGAAGCAGCAGAGGGCTCTAAACCCGATTTTTTTGCTGGTGCAAACGGCAGAAAAGTCCGTCAGTTTGAATTACCGGGGGAAGCGCTAGGGTTTAGGGTTTAGAGCAGAAGCTTGGTTCAGCTGCTAGGGTTTAGGGTTTTGAGTTTGCATTTCGGACTCCAGCAGCAGCAGCTTCGTTGACTGCAGCAGTAGCACTGCTGCGCTGCTGTACCATAGGCCTTCTGGGGGGGCCCCTCAAGAGGAGGCCCTGGGGGCCCCCAGGCCCTCAAAACCCCCCTTTTTGTGCTGCGCAGCAAATTTATAAAAGTGATTTAATAGTGGATGAGAAGATGTGCAAATTGTGCATCAATTTGGAGTGTATGGACATCTCTGTCGAGCTATGTAGGCACTCTGCTGCTGCCCGGCTGCAGCAGCAGCAGCAACAGCAAAGCTCCGGCTGCGCTGTGCCGCCCGCTGCCTCCAAGGGAGCCCTGCTGCTGCAGCAGCAGCGCAGCAGCAGTGCAGCAGCAGCGCAGCAACAGCACGGGGGGTGTCCCAACGTTTTAGCTCCGACCAAAGGGAACCCTGCTGGGGGCCTGAGGGCCTCTGGACCCCTCAAATGACATTAGAATTATGAACTACATGGCAAACAAAACAAACGAAAGAAGTAAACGAAACAAAAAGGCAAAAAGACAAAAGGGGCTGGAGATACACCGCATTACGGGGCTTCGATGCGGCAGCACCTGCCGTCGGCAGCC